TTCCTTCTTCATACGGCAACAAGTACATCTTAGTAGCGGTTGATTATGTCTCCAAATGGGTTGAGGCTGTTGCTTCAAACGATTCTAAGGTGGTGATCAAGCTGTTTAAAAGCATCATTTTCCTGAGGTTTGGGGTACCAAAGGTGGTTATAAGCGATGGAGGAAGCCACTTTATAAACAAGATCTTTGAGAGCCTTTTGAGAAAGTACGGCGTTAAGCATAAAGTGGCTACATCGTATCATCCTCAAACGAGCGGTCAAGTGGAAGTCTCCAACCGGCAAATCAAGGCTATACTTGAGAAGACGGTCGGAGCAACAAGGAAAGACTGGGCAGTAAAGTTGGACGACGCTCTTTGGGCCTAGCGTACCGCCTTTAAAACACCGATTGGTACGACCCCTTTCAATCTGCTCTATGGCAAAGGCTGTCACCTCCCAGTTGAGCTTGAACACCGTGCAATGTGGGCTGTAAAGAGGCTGAACTTTGACCTCAAGACTGCTCAAGAGAGGCGCCTCATCCAGCTACATGAACTGGACGAACTAAGGTTGAACGCTTAAGAGAGCTCTCGGATATACAAGGAGCGGACTAAGGAAGCTCATGACAAGAAGTTGGTTTCCAAGGAGCTTAAGGAAGGAGGTTTGGTGTTGCTGTACAATTCAAGACTAAAACTCTTCCCGGGAAAGCTGAAGTCAAGGTGGAGCGGGCCGTTTCTGATCCAAGAAGTGCTGCCTTATGGAGCTTTTACATTGATGGGCAAGAGTGGCAGTGCATTCACCGTGAACGGACACAGGGTCAAGCCTTACTTGGCGGACAGCTATGACAAGGAGAGTACCTCGGTGCTTCTCCAAGACCCACCATCCACCTAAACCAAGTAAAGTCTAGCTAAAGACGTTAAAGAAAGCGCACTTGGGAGACATTCTCATGTCTATCCTGTACATATTTCTGCTTTATTTCTCTTTCAGTTTTATGTTTTTATTTTGCAAGTGTGTAGGAACAGGTATGAGGAGTCTAAACCTCGATCTTGAATTCCAAAAGAGGCGATAGGGGTTAAGAAAAAGCTAGAGATCGAGTGCTAGATCGACTAATCCTAACTTGATCTTTGCTATATCGAGTTAGTGAATCGAGAGGAGCCAGTCGATCTAGACGAGAACGAGTGATAAAATCGATCTAGATGAAAACGGATCGATCGATCCCAAATGGATCGACCGATCTAATTTCTCTCGGGAAATCCTTAAAAGACAGATCGATCACTCGACTCGATCCATCACTCGATCTAAGCCAAATCGACCCCAAAATCGAGGACGTAGCTCGATCACGAGGACTTAGCCGTGGAGCCAAAATCTCAACGATCGAGAGAGCCAATCGATCCAGGACTCGATTCACCATGAATCGAGTCACAAATCGAGTAACCCTCTCGATCTAAGCCATTATGGGCATGAGATCGAGTCCTAGATTGACCAAACGGACTCGATCTCATGCCGAGGTAACATCTACTTTCTCTCCTTTATTCTTTTCCCTCCAGTTTTTAAATTTAAAACTTGGTCAAGGCAAGCATCTTTGACCATGAAAGATGTGCCTTGACCAAGACTTGTGTCAGAAACCACCTCCTTTTACCCATAGTTTTGTTTCTTGTTGGCCTTTAAATGTTTTCATCAACTTCACACTCTCTCATTCTTGTTTTCTCGAAATTTTAAGCAAAGAGAGTGAGATTTTTCTGTTTCTAAAGGCTAACAAACTTCTTAACAATCTTTACAAAAGGTATTTTCGGTTATTTGATTAAAATCTTTAGGAAAATCTCCTTTTATTTCGCAATTGATTGTTTTAGATGCTAGGGCGGTTTTGAATTTTTAAATTTAGCTAACTAATAGGAAAAATTCTGGATTTTCTAGTATCTCTAGATTTGATTCTCTATTCTTTTGCTATATTTTTTTTATAAATTCCCCAAAATTCTAGGGTATTAAGTTAAGTCTTCTTCTTTGCCTCTCTTCTTCTCTCATCCTATCTCCGTTTTGCTCATTACTTTTCTTGAGAAACCTGTTTCAGGCACGATGGCCCCCAAGAGAACGAGAGAGGAGACGGCACAAGAAGGAGAAGGTCAGGAAGTGGCTGTTCAAGAGAGGGTCCGATGGAGTAAGGACGAGAAGAGGGATAAGAAGCAGCTGGAAAGGCTTCGGTTCAAGCCTACTAAGTTTGCGGACCGGGAGCTGCTGTTCAAGCTAGGGATCCTTGGAGATTTCGACCAACTCCTCAAGAACATTGGCTTAAGATGTCTGTCACGAATGGATTGCCCAACCATTACAGAAGTGACAATAGACTTCCTTGCCACGTTGGAGTTTCGTTACGAGAACCCTAACGCCCCCGTTCCTTCACAAGGCCGTCTCTCTTTCAAGGTTGGACGTCAAGCCTTCAGCCTCTCAATCCCCGAGCTGTGTCAACCATATGGTCTCAACGCAGCTGCCACCAAGATTGAGTTCCCCTCCTTCACGCGAGCAAATGATTTTTGGGACCTGATCAGCAACAAAGATTACAAGGCCAACACCGCCAAAATCAAGAGAGTGAGAAGCCCTGTGCTGAGGTACACCTTGAAGCTGATCGCCAACACATTCAGCGGAAGGTCAGTTGCTCCCACAGTCACGAAGACCGAGCTTTGCTTCTTGTTCCAAGGCGTGAAGCATTTGTTGTGTGATCCAGCGGAGAATGAAGAGCCTATGGAGGATGAACTCGGCGACGAGGTGAACTATGGATGCGTACTTGCTGCCTCTTTGGTGAAGTACAAGGCTTATGCCTTGCGGTGCAAGGCAAGCTCTTCTTTCATTGGCGGCTTCCTCACTCCTCTATTCATACAAGCTGGCATACATATACACGATTTCACACCTGCCCCGCTAGAGCTTTCATGGATGAGGTCTACATGAGGAATACTGACAGCTTGGGACGCACGCTAGCAGAAGGGTTCTACGCTTATCTTTTCATCGACGACGAAAACGAGAAGAGAGTGTGCATCCTACCAAACAAGGACGAGACCGAGCTGTTTGGTGTTGGGAACATCGAGTTCTTGCCAACAGTAGAGGAGTGCTTTGCTCCTCTAGGAGGACCGCCTGCCCCAGCGATTGCTCCTCGTCAAAGGTCTGAGTCCCCAGCCACGGAAGATGAGATGCCCGAGGCTTACACCCTTCCCAAGATAGACTTTTAACCGAGAACCAAAACGGAGAAGTTCCTAGCATCTGTTGTGGAGATGCAAAGGAAAATCAACAAATGGCAAGGCAAAATGCTCAAGAAACTTGCCAAGAAGGTCAAATCGCTTCAAGGAGGCTCGCCTAAGAAAGATGCAAGTGAAGAGGTTCAACAACCCGAGAAGAGGAGGCTGTCAACCGGTGGAGTTGTCATCCGTGAGACTCAAGGCAGCAACATTCAACCGGCGCGTCTCTCTCTTCAAGAGCCAGGCTCCAAAGGCAAAGCCGTAGCATCTAGCTCCTCTGGAACATCCTCAAGTTCCAGCCGAGACTAGACCCGAGGTAACAACCTTCTTCCATTGTACATACCGCTCATGTTTGCTTCTTTTTGCTTTGTGTTTTGATGCTCCTTTGAATTTGTTTGCCACCGGGACGGTGTCAAGCAAGTTTGGGGGAGTATATATGTGGTTTGACTTGTGTTTTCTGATCTTATTTTCCCTTTAGCATCCCTGAGTCTTCATTACATGAAAAATTGGTAAAATTTTTTAAAATTTTTTAAAGATTCATGTAGTTGCATTCATCTCATTAAGCATTTTAGGATTGAGTCTAGAATCTTAAAGCATCTAGGTTGTTCATATTCGTATAAGGGGTTAGAGTTTCTCTTAAAAAGGTGTTTAAAACACATGAATTGTTTCAATGCCCTAGTTAGTAGTTCTCTAATGCTTTGCTCATACTTTAAAAGTAAGTTCTTACCATGCTTGGACCACTTGCTATGATTTTCGTTACTTAAGTTGAACAGACATGAATTGAATCCTTTCTACTAAGTGAGAACCTTAATCTGAATTTGAATTATCACTCTTGTGCATTTGAAATGAAATACATGGATCACATATATATATTCAGGCTTTCTTACCCCTTTTTACCACTCTTTGTAAGTCTGAATAGAACTCCACACCCTGAACCTTGCCTTCCTTTCAAGCCAAATATTTCTTGTGTGATGTGAGGCCTTATTTTCGGATCGAACTTGGCATAAAGTGTTAGGTTTAGGTGACATGATTAGGCTTTCATGTTGATGCTAGCTTTGCATTTTGAAGCTAGTTTTAGGTTTGTTTTGGGGCAGGGATTTGCTGGTGTTAAAAAAATTTTGCTTATGTGTTTTGAGTTTAAAAAGAAATGGTGTTTGGGGTTTGAAAATAAAGGACTCATGGTTTTAAGTGGTGGTGTTGTTCTGTTTTTAAATAAAAGCTCAGTTTTAAAAGAGAAGGAGGTAGCTCTCAAAAATAATAAAAAAAAAAAAAAATCAGAAAGAAAAGAGCCAAAAGGCCAAAATTTAAAAAGAAAAAAAACAAATAATAAGAGAAGAGAGCTACCAAGATTTAAAGAAAGAGCTTTAGAAGGGCTTATTGGATCATGGTTTTGAATGATTTGAATAGATTTTGAATAATTTGATATTTAGTTGGATTTTGATCGAATTTATAGATATTGTGTGATTTTTAATATATATTTTTCAAGTAATTAAAAAATCTAAATTAAAATTTGGAAAGACTTTTAAGATAAATTTCAGTTCATTTTGTATGACAAAAACTAGCACAATTTTTATTAAAAATAAAGAAATATCCAAATTCTAAATCAAAAACACCAATTAAAACAAAAAGAAAGAAAAACATAACGTAACTCCAAAGCTCATACGTAAATCCGACGTTCAATCCACTCGTGAAGTTTGGTCATTGCATCGTATTATGGAGAGAAAAAAGTTTGTGTTCTCCAACTAAAAAGAACAAAATTGTATATGAATGAAGTAACATGGTAAAACATCACTTACCACGTGTTTCATGGCTGATACCCATCGTCATTAGCATCTCCCCACATATTAGCAGCAATAGTTGCTCGCCAATTATTAGCGAATTCCCTTTGTTGTTCTTGGGTTCCAACAAGTTCTTCTGCATCGCTATATGATTCATCATCTTCTTGATTTTGCTCTTGTGCATTACTACTTGATGCAACATTTTCCTGACTACATGCTTCTGTAGTACTACTTGATGCTGCATTTTCTTGTCTACGTTCTTCAGGATCAAATTGATATGAACGACATTCTTTACGAAGAAAATTATGCAAAGCAGCACATGCAAGTACTAACTCCACTTGTCTCTTAAACGGAAAAGGAGGTGCAGATTTAAATATCAAAAATCTAGGCTTGAAGATACCAAAAATCCTCTCAATTACGTTTCTCAATGAAGCATGGCGAAGATTGAACAGTTCTTCTTTATTTGTAGGATCATTACCTTCACCTTTGAATTCTTGAAGATGATATCGAGTGCTTCGATAAGGAGCCAGAAAATTACTACGGTTTGCAAATCCACAATCAACCAAATAATACTTTCCTGAAATTTAAGTCATGCACAATATTAAAAAGTGTGAATTTAAAATAAAATAAAATATTTCAATTAATTGACGTACCTTCTGGAACTTTGAATCTATTAGTAGTCCTTGTTAAAGCATCATTTAGCACTTTTGCATCGTGAGCTGAACCTTCCCATCCGGAAAGAATATATATGAACTCTAAATCAAAATTGCATGCTGCCAATACATTTTGTGATATATGTCCTTTCCGGTTACGATAACTAGCCACTTCATCTCCGATTACCATCGCAGGAATATGTGTGCCATCAAGTGCTCCTACAAAATCCTAAGAAGAAAACAAAAAGTCAGAATTTTGTGTGTTGTAAATAAAAAGCTTTCAATCGTGAAAACGTCATACCTTAAAGTAAGGATAATATCTTGTGCTTTCTTTTATTTTAGTGGGCACTGTATTCCCAGGCTTAACCATAAAGCTTGGTGCAAGCGTGCATAATGCCATCAAAATTTTATTGAAATTTGTACTAGCAGCAAATGCAGATCTGTTGAAAGTATCACGCGTCTGAGTGTATCTTGAATTTTGACCAACTGTGAGCAGAAAAGTAGCAAGCATTTCCTTTACTGAAGTATTTCTTGTGTTTGCTATATTTGTCCTCTCTAAGATAATGTCGCATAACTTCAAAAACGCACGAGGAGACATACGATATAATTCACGAAAATGCTGAGAATCCTCTTTCATCGCCTTTTGTAGGTATTCATATCCAAGTTGTGTTGGTGCTCTCCTGATTGGACGCTCGATTTGTGTTGAACAGTTATTAATCCTCGCAATCAATGTCAACATCAATACCATAATATGAACATCTATCTCAAAATTTGCTGTTCTTCTTATTTTTTGTTTTGCCTTTGCTTCTTCATATTCATGGACAATACGATCTATTATGAAGAACCTATAGATATATAAATATCAAAATGAGCTGATATGAGAAAACTAACCATGGCCGATTACAACTTTTCAAATTGTTATTTTGGCAATTAAAAACACAACCATACGAGAACACAACAAACATACAAATTCTCTAGAAAGATAACGATAAGATATTTACTTGAGTATTACAATGGATGATGAAGACGCTTTGACTTTTCTCCTCGTATATATAAAAATATTCTTATCTAGGATAACAATGGTGAGAAGTTTCACACCACAAATATATAAGCAACAAAATTGGCGCCAAAAATAAGCAAAATCTTCAAGTTTCCGCCACATATATATACACACACATTAACAATATCTTAACTAGAGATTGTAGTGTATCTAAATCTCGTTATACATTTTTACTTGGCTTTATCAGTATCTACTTATAAATCACATTACAGTATATATAGATAGGATCCATATCAGATTGACAAACGATTGGCAAGATGTAGTTAAGAATTTACAGTTTTGATTGTTGGAAAATCTACTATAACGAGTCCCTTTATAATTCACCAACTCGATTTTATTAGAACTGAAGAAATATCCAAATTGTAAATCAAAAACATCAACTAAAACAAACTGAAATAAAAAAATGTAAAGGAAAGAAAAGCATAACAAAACTCCAAAGTTGGCATGGTTTGTAAATTCTTGTAATCATGATTTGTAGACATGACGTTTAATCCACCCAAAACGTTCGGTTATAGACATTTTAGCAAATCCTGCTTTCATTCCCAGCTCGTGAACTTTGGTCATTGCATCGTACCGAACGTCATCCTCTAGATCAGGAATTTCTTTAATAGCATCCCATACACAATTAATTTTTTCTTCGGCTTGTTTTTCTTCAGCCTCTTGTTTCCATCTTTGTTGTAATATGCCAAATACTTGATTGCTGATTTCCGTTACTGTACTGATTTCATCATTAATGTTCCCCATTGTGTGTGCCTCTGTTCTAGCTTTTTTCTCTGAGGGAGCTTTTCACGAGTGTGTGTACCTAATGAAGAGAAAGACACATCCTCATGAACTTGATGGTGGTACGTTGCTCCTTGGTCCTCTTCAAGGGGGTTCATATCATGAGTCTCAGAAGGTTGAGCACTGGAATCACTTAACCCAATAGCATTCTTTCCTGTTGCTGTATTACTTCCAAATATCAAGTTCAAATCCTCATAGTCTTCAAAGGAGTTGTCACGTAGATGACTTTGATTTGAATGTCCCTAACGAGAAAAAGCAATATATCAAAATTAATAATAAAAGATAAAAGTGTGTAAATTATGCATACGGAGGCAAAACTGGTACCTTGAAATAATCATTCCACACTTCATTAGAAGCAGTAAACTTCTTTGTTACTGGATCCCATCCAAATCCAGAACTGTGTCGAAAAAGATCAACATAACTCTGGTACCTAGCCTTTAGTATCTTCATTCTATTCTTGTAGTGGCTATAATTTTTCTCAGAACCAAGCTTCTGGTTTAAAACTGATAGTATTTTTTTCTCTATCGTTAGCTTGTTAAAGGAACCATTTGCGTCACGCCAACCTCGTTTAATAGCATCCACCAATAACCGGAGCAACATATTGTGTTCTGGTTCAGATCAATGACTATATTGACCTTTCTTAGATTCATGTCCATCTCCCATCGCTACACAAACATAAAAAAATAGCAAACAAATGAGAAACTCAAATTGAACGAACCAGATGATAAAGAAGACAGATGATAACATACCAAGTCGTCGAGTTTCATGTACAAAGATGATCTGAATTGCTGCATATATATTAACGTATCCAAACCTACTCCAACAAAAAAATGAGATAAGTTTGATTTTTTTTAAAAACAAAACTCTTGAAATTATCATCTTTGTAGGTGAGATTTGTTGGTTGGATAATATAACTAAAAAATGTAATCAAATATTTAGAAATCTTTTCAGATTTAATTTGTTTTAATATTGAAAATGATCCAATAACCCCTGATTTTTTATGATTTTGGTCACTTATCAATTGAATAACCATGGATTGTGAATTATTTTAAATTAGTTGAGAAGAATTCCATATCCAATAACCTGAGACTTTAAAAGACATTTAAGAATTCCAGATCCAATAACAATAGATTTTACAAAAAAACTAATGTCTTCCAAAAACCATGATCCAATAAGCCCCCCTTAAGTTTGTGTTTGACCACCACTAGCCTAATAAGAGTAAAGTTGACTCCTGTTTTCGTGGGTTATGCTTGGCTTCTTGCCTTGTCGTTTGGGTAGTTTCTAGATAGTGAGTGAGCTCGGAAAAGAAAGAAAATGAGAGGGGTTTAGGATCATTGTTAGTGTATATGGGTAGATGAGAGTCTAGTCATGTATGCATCAATTGTCTTTACCTTTAGCATTATGCATAAGTTCAATCCTTTTTTAGATAACCCATTGTTTGAATTACCCGCTTGAATGAGATCATCTTTGTCTCATAACCTTGTCCTTAGCCAAATGTATTCTGTTCTAAGTGCATAAGTGTGATTCACGGTTTGATCATTAATTGAATGTTAAAGGTTAGGATTTTTGGATTGTTTGGAATATGAGAGTCATGATCTGAATTTCTTTGTGTGATGAGTATGGCTAAGTTCTTTGGAGTATGAGTGTGCACATTGCATTTTAGAACTAGTAACTAGGACATTGAGATTGATTCATTTGAAAGGCACCTTTGCAAGAAGCTTAAACCCCCGTCTTTTCTAAAACCTCTCTTCCTTTCTTATTTTCTGTTGCTTGAGGGCAAGCAAGAAGTAAGTTTGGGGGAGTTGATGTTACTGCATATTGCATGTATTTTGCATACATATTAGTTAGCTTTTCATGCATTTACATCACACTTTAGACTAGATTGCATCACTTAGGGTCCTAGAGCATTCTCGCACCAACATATGCATGTTCCTTGCATTTTGCATCACATTCAGGTTGTTTCTGGCTACTTTGGAGTCGTGGAGGTTCGTGGACGTGCTGAAGCTGTTGTGGTGGTTCGTGGAACGTCGGATGTTTGCTAAGGCGATCGGGGAGCAGATCGAGCATGGCAGGTCGATCTAGATGAGATCAACCAGAAGATCGAGAAGCCTAGGCGATCCAAGGGAAATGATCGAGACGAAGATCGAGTGGGGTAATCGATCAAATGGTACGTACATAAATGATGCCATGCAGAGCGAGAGCCGGATCGAGTCCACCACTCGAACCGACCGAAGATCGATACCAAGATCGGATGCAACACTCGATCCGCCGAAGAAGATCGAGACCCAGATCGAGTAGAAGACACGATGTCCGAAGGTGATCGAGAGAGCCGCTCGATTCTGAAGTCGATCTCTGTCCTTTCAACCGTTTTTGGCTGCTAGCGAGGGGGGGACCATCGAGCTGTTTTCACCATTTTGGGAAGGCGGCGATGTCTTTTTCGAGAGACACTTTTCATTCTTATCTTTTTATGATTTTTCTCTCTGGTTTTGGAGACTCTCCACCATTGTTAGACTTTGAGCTTTGTTCTTGAATATTTCGAATCGTTTAAGTTTTAAGTAATCGTTTTCATGTTCATCGCTTCATCTTTCATGTTTATTTCGGTTATTCTCATGTGTAGTGAGTAGTTTTATTTAGGTCTCAGGGTTGAGAGGATTCAAGAGGTCTAAGGGGTTTTCAAGTTGGTAGTTTTCTTGTTCTTAATGGCTTTTTCTTCTAGGATGTTGAGTCCCTAAGGCTTAAAGACTCTCATCACACAAAGAAATTCAGATCATGACTCTCAAAAGCCATGGAAGTTTAGGGGACTAGTTAGGCCGTGTGTTTGAAATCTGAGTTCATTGCCCTTCAACCTCTCTTTCCACCAGAAGCCATGGGTTTGGAGGAGAGGATGAAGGAGTGATCCATACCGAAAGCCACTGATGGATCTTGTTTTCGTTTTCAAAGCTTAGGGAATCTCACAAAGTGAGTCGATTTAAAGTTTTCAATCCCAACTTGGATCCTTGAAACCCCGGACCATGAATCTCAACCCTAGACCCTTCTTTCTTAGCATTCTTACATCTTCGTTAGTCATTCGCTTGTTATTCACCGCATCCTGGTCATTAGTTTCTTCATACTTGCATTTTTAGACGAGATCGATCCAAACTGCTCGATCTAGTGGTCCATCCTGTGGTCGATCCACTAGTCGATTTTTGTTAAATCATAGCCTTGCATTTTAATTTTTCTGTTTGTTCCTCGTAGTAGTTCAATCACTCTTGGTAATTTTAAAATAGTTTTGCATTCCATTCGGTCGTTGCATATAGTTTTTAGGATTTTCACAATATCGCCTGTTATTCTCTTAGCTTTACACAGCTCTTGCATTCTCTTTGATCTTCCTAGCTCCAAGAAATGGATTGACTCTCACTTGCATACTGTACTACAACCTAAGTGTTGCATTTGAGTTTGATAGCCTCATTGCATCCTCACCCTTGCAAAGAAAGTAGTTATCAAGTCTCCATAGGTGGAAGAATACTTTGTCTTGAAGCATAACTTGAAGGTTTATCAGCAGCACCAATAGGCCATAATGGTATTTGAACTCTCATGCCCCAAGCTCCTTGTAAACCAGCTTGACCTTGTTCACCTTGCAAGCCGTGAATCCCTTGAAGCCCTTGTGGACCTTGTTGACCTTGCAAACCAAAGCCTGCAGGATACTGATGTTCTTCCATGCTTCAACAGCTGACTTCTGAAACTGCAAACCCAAAATTCTTGATCTTAAACCTCAGTTGTAGTGGTAGACACTTAAGGCAAAATGCTAAAGGTAAAAGCACACCTATGCATGCAAGTCAGAGCTCTCTTCTATCCTTTTACCCAAAGATGAACCTGTTATCTTCTAAACCCCAAAATGAAACCCTGAGTCTACCCTTTTCATGAACTTTAACCTTCTTCTTCTTCATGGTTGGGGAAAATTCTTCTTTTTTGCTTTTGTGGTTGCTTTCTTTTGTTGGGACTTGCTCCTTTTTGTTGATTAGGCGCCATTCTTCACCTTTGGTTGATTGCCTTGGGTTTGATTTCTTCCTCTGATTGACCCTTTTGTTAGCCTTGTTGTTGGTGCTTTCCTTCTTTAAACACTTAGAGCTTTTATCCATTTTGCACTTAACCACAATTCTAGCTTGTTCCCCCGTACTACCATAATTTTTGTTCTTCTTTTTAAAAGACAAAACAGTAAAGCTCAAACCACTTACACTACCCATCCCAAAACTCCTAACCTAATACCAAGCTCAAGATGCAAGATGGTGTCTACAAGAGAGCTCTTACTTGCCAGCCTTATTCCTAACACTTTTTGCCAAGATAGAATTGAAAATAATGCAGTGAAAGGCCTCACAACTCTCACAATAGTGTTTAAGCTTATAAAGAGGGATTGGGTTAGGGTGTGGTTAACTGTCCTATAATGATGTGGATCAGCAACTTGGGTTAACAAGAGTGGTAAGAAGGAAAGAAGATAAACCAAGTATGTATATGGGTTGCCATGTGATCACTCTCAATGCATAAACATGATAATTAAATGTCAAGATTATGTATCTAATAATCAGAGATGACATCAAATCAAAGCAAGCTTCAGAAGAAGACAAGAATATAAATGCAAGTAGTCAAGATATGGTGCAGCCTTAACTTCAAACACACTACAATGCAATCAAACAACAGACAACCAAAGCATTGAAAACAACTCAAACATTAACACCTTGACAAGTGTTTATCATCTACTCCCTATGCAAGTGTATGCAAACCTATATGAAATGCATCTAGACTCAATCTTAGTTATGCAGATGCAACTTAATGATCTTTTTGATTCTAAAAATTTTGAAAATTTATGGATTTTTGGTGCATATAGATGAATGCATGAATGCATGGGACTCAAGTATGCAAAAGAGAAAATAAGAAAACAGAACACAATGTCAAATGCAGTGCCCTCCCCCACACTTAAATTACACAGTCCCTTGTGTAATAGAAGCTTGAAGGAGGGTGATAAAGGATACTCAGAAGGATTCAGAAGGAGAGGAGTGGAGTTGTGTACCTAAAGGAGTTTTGGCAGAGTGGAGGTATGTATCGATCTCTCCTGATCGATACATGTTGATCGATGGGGTCGCCAAAGTTGTCTGTTGGATCCCATCAGTCATTTTTGGTCGATGCATCTGATCGATGGTGCACCCGTTTGGTTTCCATCGATCACATTTGATCGATACACCTGATCGATACTCTATCCGATTGATTCCCATCGATCACAATTGATCGATAGGGGTGATCGATGGAAACCCTGCTGGCGCTTCTTTCCTTCCATCGATCACTTATGATTGATGGAGTTGCTCGATGCACCTCTGGCTCCAACAGTATCGATTACATTTGATCGATGGTCATGACCGATAGGCCTGTATCGATCTGGCCTGATCGATACAAGTGATCGATACTAGCCAGAATGCATCTGTTTTTGTTTCCCCAAACACCTTCTAATAACTTGCCTTAAACCCCACTTACTTCTGTTATTGAAAGAAAAACACAAAGACAAACATAAAATGCAATAATATGTACAAGGATAATAGTGGAATACCTTCCAAGTATGCTTGTTTAACGTC